TCTACTTGGCGCGTGCGGAGCTGCGGCTCTTTCTGGTGCACGAGATCAGCTGTTGCAGTTTTATAGGGAGCGAGAGAGAGAGAGAGAGAGAGAGAGAGAGAGCAAGAGAGATGGAAGTGCTTAATTTTATTCATCAGAGGAAGAAAAAAGAAAAAGAGCATCTTGTGGGACCAGCAGCGGCGCGCGGAGATGGCCTGGGAGGGATTTAATGGTGTGGTTTCAAGTGCACGCTCACTTGTTTTTTTCGTGGCAAGGAAATTCCATGTCAATACGTTGTTGTTGTTTTTTCTTCTAACAGTTCCTGGTAGAAAGGGTGTAGTGGTAAACAATGCACTAGATTCTACTACAAAAACGTTTAAGAAAAAGTAAGCAACATTGGTAATCCTCATTTCTTACAGCTCACGAGTAAGTCCACTAGCAGACAGGTTTTTGATGAAAATCCTTTACAAACTGAAGTAAGAAAAAAATACATAATTTGGGGATTTTTTGACAGAAGCATCCTTTTAGGTTTTAAAGCTAAAAATATAAGCTATATTTGCACTTTTACACATTTACTAGCTTCATTAAAATGTGGCGAAATCGTAACATGTTTAACTGTAACCATAATCAGATCACTTTTAACCACGGGAATAAAACTGTTGGTTTACAGAAAAAACGGCACCCTACTGCCTCATGATTTTAGCCATCCATGTGCTGAGAACCATCAAATCAACCTAAAAACCAACTTCTTGTGGTACTGAACACAGGTCAATGCTTTTACACTGCAGTCGACCAATTGAGTTCCCTTTATGCAAACGAGCTTCCCCCCTGGGCCAATCAGATGTTCTACTTAAATCCAGACTCAGCATTAGCCAATGAGTTTAGTTAATGTAACTGAGGTGTAGCTGTTTTTACTGAATGGTCTTGCAGAGAAGGAGAGAGAGGGAGACAATGTCAGAGTCTCATGTAGGACTTTGTGTTACACGCAATGTTCAGAGAAAAGAGACATGCTGCAGAGCGATGATGCACTGTTGTGGTGTCACTTAAAGAGGACTTCTCCCTCCAGCCAGTAGACAGTGACACACACACACACACACACACACACACACACACACACACACACACACACACACACACACACACACACACACACACACACACACACATACACATACACAGACACTCATGCAAAACCCTACCCCCATTGATACACATTCAGGCGGGCACGATGATGGTGTGTGATGTAATGCCGTGACGTGTATGTTTATGTAAGTTCCTTTCAGTGAGGTCCTTGGAGTTAACCTATTGTTGTACTTCATTGATAAATTATAAACGTTGCAAGCTGGTACGAACAAGTATGCGTGTGTGTGTGTGTGTGTGTGTGTGTGTGTGTGTGTGTGTGTGTGTGTGTGTGTGTGTGTGTGTGTGTGTGTGTGTGTGTGTGTGTGTGTGTGTGTGTGTGTGTGTGTGTGTGTGTGTGTGTGTGTGTGTGTGTGTGTGTGTGTGTGTGTGTTCTTGTACGTGTTTGGTTAAGTGCATTGCTTTTGAACTTATCAGTCTGGACTCCCTGTCTCTTGGCTCGTCACTTATTGCTTCTTTATTTATGTGTTGGTGCACTGCATTGAAGGAGTTTCTTGTCTTGTCTCAGAGGACTGTATAATATTAGATACAGACACCAACAGTATGTGTTTGATCATGAAGTCTGAGAATCTTAAAAGGCTCCTGAAGTCAAGGGAGTCTGCTAAATGGGAGCAATACACCACATTCCTGTTGGACTTTCGATTCTTCTTATTGAACCAGCCCTATTTTTATACCATGATTCCCCCTTTGAGAGTTATCGTTTTTAATACAAAGCCTGTTCTACCTGGTCAGCTATCTCAATGCCCATACAAGGTACTTATTTTCACTGAGACCACTAGCTGGTTAATATGTAACATTTAGTATTGACCGGCAGTGGCTCAGTCAATATAGGGGCTTGTGGCTCAGTCAGTAGGGGCTTGGATTGGGAGCTGTAGGGTCGCCGGTTCAAGTCCCCGACCAGACCTAAAATATGGAGTGTGAACTGCTACTTGGAGAGGTCCCAGTTTGCCTCCTGCCCTGCCATGGTGCCCTTGAGCAAGGTACCGGACACCCCCCTTCTCCCCCACTCCCATTGCTCCCCGGGCCCTGTACAATAGCTGCCCACGGCTCCTACTAGACTCCTGGTACTTGGATGGGTTAATTGCAGAGGCCAAATTTCACTGTGTGTGCTGTGTGCTCTACATGTGTGACCATTAAAGAGGGTTTCATCCCTCCCTCCCTATTCTATTGTGTAATGAAAACCAAAAATATACGCCATTGTTGATAATAGGTTTCTGCAACTTGTTTTCACAGTCCCAAATTTTCCTAAAAATAAATATTTTCTTGCATGTTTAAAATTACTGAGTTTCAAGGGGAGAGTTGAAAAAAAAGAAGAGGGTAGCCAAAGAACTTCAAAGTCTACGGTTTCAATATAAATGCATCTGATTAGACACTCTGCACTGTCTATTTACAAAGGAAAAGCTATAAGAAATGGATTGCTATCTAGTCTCAAAACCTTTACTCGTCAATGAAACATCTATGTTTTTTAAAATCTATGATGTCTTTCCTGACAACTTGATGAGAGAAATTACCCTTAGAGTTCAATTTATAAAATGTATATATTTGTTGGCTGCACTGAAAGAGACAAATGCAGAAAGAGCAAACTGGCATAGATTGAAAGGTATCTGTCAGGTGGGTTTAGTGTGATTCTCTCACTGATTATCTGTCTGACACACCGGCAAATACCAATTCTACCTGCTCTATTTCTATGATGGTGAAATTGTCCACTCGTTATTTTTTCTGCTAGCCTGCTATACTGCTGAGCTCAGCGTAATCTGTGTGTGTGTGTGTGTGTGTGTGTGTGTGTGTGTGTGTGTGTGTGTGTGTGTGTGTGTGCGTGTGTGTGCGTGCGTGTGTGCGTGTGTGCGTGTGTGTGTGTGTGTGTTAGATTGTGTGGGGACATGTGGAGACTGGAGACTCATTAACATAATAATAGACTCGGATGCATGTAGACAGGCAGGCGGTGTGCGAGCATGTGTGTGTGTGTGTGTGTGTGTGTGTGTGTGTGTGTGTGTGTGTGTGTGTGTGTGTGTGTGTGAGTCCTGTCAGGAAACACAATTGAAGGGTCCTTGTTGACTTTTCATTCCTCTGCCTTTAAAGAGCTATTCAAATGACAGGGTTTTAAATAAAACCACATTCAAATAGAAGGGTTTTTTACATATAAAGCCATATCCAGATGAAAGGGGTTGTAAACAAAAAACTGACAGAGAGGTACCGAGCAGGAGGGAGGAGGAGAAAACACAAGGAGGGGGTACATACACACAGAAAAACAAAGAGAGGGAGCTAAACTGAAAGAAAAAAGATGTGAAACCACTTATGGAGGGCAAATGGAAGGTCAAATGGGGCTTTGAATGTAAAGAGTGAGAAGCAGCTCATGGTAACATAGCTGTTGATGGATAAATGTAGTAATGGATAACTATGACTTGAGACGCATGTCAAATGCTTGAAACATTATAAACACAGTTAATGTGTATTTGTAATTTTAAGGGTGCCTATTACCATCTGGCCGGGGACAACAGCTGGAAATTAGCCATGTCGGCTAAAGCTGCACCATTTACTGTTTTTGTGACAGTTCATCGATGAGGACTGTCCACGACACTATAAATAAATAAACTAAACTGAAACTAAACTAAACTAATGTTGATATGATGGTGGTTTTTCATTTAGGAATAAACCAGACCAAGAACTACATTTGGTCTTCAAATGTCCTTAACTATGTCATTTGTTTTCATTTCCAAAACATACAATTGTTTTCTAAACTGACCCTTCCATGACAGGAAGATATTGTTTACTAGTGAAGCAGGAAACAGGAAATGATCTATATAAGGATTCCTATCTCTTTTCCTGATTTATAACTGCTGTGGTTAAGATTGGTTCTGTTTAAGCACAAAAGCTACTTGTGTGTGGTAAGAGAAAGATCATATTCTCTCAAGTCAAAGTCAAACCACTTTAGTTGACCTAAGCATCCTGACCTCCGTCCTTCTGCATGTTCAGGATTCACAATGTTGATTTCTTTCTCCTGACAATCTAAGAGTTGTGATTTACAGAGCTTTGAGTGGCCGGCTGACTTAGACATTTAGGATGAGCAAATCTTTTTTTTGTTTTTTTGGGGAAGACAGTCTTTAATGCTCCTTTCATGTACTGTATATAGTCTTTGGGACAGCATTTACAAACGATGATAGCCATTTTTAAAGCTGCAACATGAGATCCAGATCCAGGAGGACACAACGTTGTCAGGAGGTGTTTGTGTGGCTGTTTCTTTTCAACCTGTCCAGATAGTGAGTCTTTGCATGCTTCAGTAGGAGCTGGTTCAACCCATCGCCTTGTTCGACCCTCAGGTCTATGTG